TTCTGAATATTGACTTCTGCTAATCAAGTTAATGATACTTAGGTAAATTGTTTGAATTAATGCCTTCAGTTGCATCACTTCATGTTTCTGTATAGAAAATAATTCAGTCTTCTTTAACTGCATTCTCTTAATTAGCTATATCTCAAAACACTTTCTTATTCAAATGTTTGGTGGACTAGCCAGGAGCAATTGTGATCTTGCTTCTTGTACTAAACATAAAAAATAAGAACCAGGTACTAGCACATGCTACTTTTACTCTTTTATCCTGTAATTTAAGTAGATTTTTCAGAAGTGCAGCATTTATAGTAATTTCCAGGTCTATAATATAATGTATCTACTGTTGCCAAAATTAGACATGCTACATTTAAGGCACTGTCCTTACATGAGTAACAGGAGGAAGTACCAGTATAAGTATGTGCATCAGCACCTGCTTAGTCCTTGCTGAGTGATGTCCAAAGCCCCATTTTGTCTTCCTGCTCAGAAACATGAGCGTGTTTCTCAACTAACAGTAGCATTGAAGATATGGTGATGCAAGCTGAATAGTAGCTAGCAAAGTAGGTAAAAACTTCTTCCTTGGGGCCCTGATTTGTTCATTAGCCATTTCACAACCAAGTATTCCTTCACCACTATATACTTCATGTACTCAGTGTATTACAATCAACAGCCAACAAGGTTATTTTGTTCGTCCTGCAGGCTTTCTTTGTTGCTTTGCTCTGTGTCTGTACTACAGAAGGCTGTTGCTTTGGGCTTGATGACTGTTGCCAAGCATGAGTATTTTTGATTGCCATCTATCTTCTTGAAGTGTGTATGGAAAGAGTACAGATCTGAAAGTAACTTATTACAGATATTCTGTGGGTTTTGTCTGGTTTTCAAAGTACAACTTGCAGTTTGTAGTTGAGTCACAAGTCACTTGATAGCTTTATTTTCTGAGTGTTTAGTGTCTTCCTAGGTTTAACTGTTTTTTGCAGTCTTAGAGATGGTGAACTTCTCAAAAGGTTATGAGTATTAGCTACCACTCTTAGCTGTGAAGCTCACCCAAGCCTTGTTTCTTTTGTATCTGCAGTGGTTTTTTATGCAGTGCATGGTTTGAATACTTTGTGTAGCTGCCAGGCAAACTCTGCAGGGACAGGAGAGGTGGGAATCTTGCCCAGCTGGATAAAGAGTTGTGGTTGCAGTTGTGTTCAGTGCTGCTGACCGACCTTCACAGCATCTACTGCTCTGCACAGCAAGGACTACAAAATGTTGAGTAAACATTTTGCCATGGCTTTGCTTTCATTCTCTCCTGTTATTTGGAGGAGACAGGAGGAGAAGCTGGGTCTCATACCTTTGAAGAGTTTGCAGTTAATTTACTTAATAATGCGTTTGAAAGGATTGCTGTCTAGTGCCAACGTGTACTGCCAGTCGTGGCCAGAGTGAATTCAATTTACCCTCCTAGTTGTCTGTCTGCTAATGCAAGCGTGTGAATGCAGACAAGGAGGAAGGTCACTACAGCATTATTATTTTGAGAAAAGTTTCCTGATTTCTGTTCTTGGCTAACTGAATTTCTCACTGCTTTAAATCCAGACCAGCAAGATGGTGGCTGAATGTCATCACTCAGATTGTGACTAGTGGAAGGCTACGTGATACTCAGACTGAACATGATAGATTCAACAGTGCAGGTTGAACAATTCAACAGTTCTTACAGTGCAGGCCCATATTCATAAAAACTGATACTAATAAGGAATTTATCAAAGATAGCAAATATTAAAGATATTTACCCGTGTAAACGCTTTGGCAGGATCCTGCAGACTAGGGTGAGTGGCTTCACTGCTTGTCATGGATTGTGCCTGTTTACTGTGTGACTAGAGGGAGGCTTTCAAGGCTGTCAGGATAGCTTTATCCACTAGCATTACTGTTCTAAAAATAAATATCTCCTCATTACTGCTCACATGCAACACCAGTAGATTCTATTGATGCTGTGTCTCAGAATTGACTTGACAAGCTAGAATAAATGTATGCCCTCTGAGAGGTGAGAGACAAGAAACAAATAACTGACTGAAGGTTAAAAATCTAGCAGTCCAAGGCATTGCATTGATTGGGCAAGCCACAGTTCTCATTCTTCTGCCAAAACTGATACCACATGTTGCCTATTTTTTCAGTTAGAAGTTGATTATTTAATTTACTGAACTAGTACTAGTCTGCATTTTCTGTCCTTTAGCAAGGACTGCAATTTGTAGGAAGCATATAACCTCACTGAAGAATATTGATTTGATAGCTAACATTATGATTTCTAGAACTCAAGAAGTTCAGAGTTGCCTTTGAGTTCAGAAAGAGTTGCCTTTTCTTATTTCAGTCACTGTAGTAATTTTCAAACTGAAAGATCTCTGGGTCCTCTGTAATGGTAAGTAGAATGAGATCCAAGCAGCAGTGGATGTATATGTTTAGAGGGAAAGGAGAATGAGCTGCTTTCTCTGGAAATGGTCTGCAAAGTGCAGCAGCCGCTGGAGAATCAGCAGAAATGCCCCTCTTGCATTTTGACTGAGGGTAGCTTTAAGTGATGTGGAAGAACAACTTCTAAAGGACTGGGAACAGCATAAATTGAATTGAAACTCAGCCATCAGGGACATCAGAGTTTTAGCAGGCATTGCTGTGTTAGACAAGTAGCCATCTGCCTCGCTTACTGTCCTGCCATACACACTCCTCAGCCATAGTCCCAAGAGAGCCACTCCCTTAATCATTAGTTGTCATCTATTTGGCTGTATTTAATTAAAGTTATTGATGGATCTCCAGGCACCTTCTGGGAAGTTGTATTAATTGGAAGCATACAGGGTGCCAGGTTCCTTCATTCTGCCCAGAGACCAGAGACCTCTACTGACAGGTTGACATTAATCAGAGATAAAATCCTTTTAGTGATACGACCAACTGAGCCAAAGCCTGCGTCAGGCTTTAACAAACTGTACTTCTCTTTATGGTCCATTGTCTCAGAGCTGCCAGGGAGAGATATATGGCCCTGCAGAGGGATTAGGAAGGATAGAGAGGAGTGGAGCTACAGGATTTGTTCCAGAACTCTGACACCACTAGCATCTTCGTTTGTGTGCTGTTAAATTCATTTTTACTGCAGAAAAGACCCATTTAATGTGCAAGTGTCTCAGCTAGAGATGGTACTGGGGATCTTGGAATGGATCAGAGCAGATAATACTTTCTGGCATCTTTGAGCAAATAAGGAGGCACAGGTAATTTGCAGTGGAAATGGGCTGAGTTTCCTAGATCCTGGGAATTAGGGATGGCAGCTCAGAACTACTCAGGTTGGCAGGAAAATGCAGGGCAGCTGATCTGATTGAGATAGCACAGGATAAGGGTTGTTGTGGGAGTTGGGATGGGGTGTGGCACATCTAGTTGTGAGTGCATGAATATATTGTGCTAATACTTTCCAAACACAATACCTCAGCAGGCAGGAGTTAAGTCTGAACCACCTGGAATCTCAGCAAACTGGTTACTTTCACTGCTAAAGTTAAAGTGGAAGTGCTTTAAATTTTAAGGCATCTCTAATTAAATTGGTTTAAGGAGGTCAGGGTGAGACAGATGAGAATAAAGTGTGGTTGGTGAGGGCATTATGAACTGGTATGGTGCATTCAGGGTACATTTGTGTGAATATAGTGGAATTTATCTGAAAGCTGGATCCAGGCAGTCAAAAAGACATGGATATCCACTCTATTCTTTTTTGCCAATACAGCGGATTTCTTAGCCTCATACCCAAACTGATTTTTAGGTAGTATCTGGACATTTTACATAACTACACAGGAAGTGAAGAATACATGGTGTAATTTCTCATCTCCTAAAGAGGTATTTAAGATAGCAGTCTCATTTTAAAGGGTGTATTTTATCACAGCATTGTTTTTAATTGTGGCATAGCATTTACTGTAGCATCATATGTGGCCCTTATTCAGTTGTGATATATATTCTTTTCAAATCTAGCATTAATAGTTTAAGGTCTGTGTTTTATTTTGGTTTTGACCAGCTGAAACGCAAGCTAGGATTCAGCTTTAAATGTGTCAATACAAGAAAAAAAATGTTGTAAATGCTAATTAGCAAAAGTTTTACATGGTTTCTATAGTCGTACATTCAGGATTCACAGTAAAACATCTCTGGGGTTCACTGTTGAGGGAATTTAGTTTCTGACTGTCCCTATAAAGTCATCACTTCTATCCCATCCATTAGTGACTTGGTGCTATCAGCTATACAAAATATAGGCTGTAGAGGCATTTGGCTATTCAATAACACAGCCTTTTTGTAGTTCTGCATTCTTCCTTAAACTTAATGTGTAATATAAAAAAATAATGTTTTATAATAAAACTGTGTCCTGCTTCAAACATCTCTGCATGGTGTGTGCAGACACCATCATGTACCGTATTCTGTCTGCTTGGGAATCTCTTATGCTGAGGCTCCAATATGGGACTGATGCCAAAAAATTAGTTCTAATGCAGACAGCAGTAACTTACAGGAAGCTATTACAATTCTCCTTGTGTGGTTTGCCTTTCTCTTTCTCAGCCTCCCCTCCTACCCCACCTCATTTTTCTTGGAATTACTTAAATGAGAGATCAGCTTTTGAAGGTGAAAGGACTTGAAGGTGCTGCCACCATTAGCTAATGTAATTTGGGAAAAGGGAGGCTGATTTACAGGGAGTGCAGTTCAGCTGTTCTTATATCACAGTACTTTTGTCTTTCCTTGTTACTGTTTCTTGCCCATCTAGTTAGACGTTGCAGGAGGCAAATGCAGCAGGGGAAGGTGGGTAGCTAGCAGTAAGGCAGGAAGGGTAGCTAGAAGAGGCAAAACCAAGAATAGCTGAACTTTACATGAATGGGAATACTGAAATGTATTTCATGTCCCTGTCTGGGATTTTCAAAGTCTCCATTGTTCAGAGTTGTACAGTGCAAGCTCTCTGGCCTAATTTGAAGGTGTCAACATGTTTCTTCTCTACTGGTAGTCAAGCTAAAAGGATAGTTTGTTTCCTGTTTTTACAGAAAAAAATGGGAATACAGAAACATCCTGCTTACCAAAATGTTTCAGAATTGCCAGTAAGTGTTTGAATTTGGACCTTAGGAGATGAAAATGCATTACCAGAAGAGAGGTAAAAAAAAAAAAAAATTGCTTACTTGAACATGTCTCATACTCTTTAATTTGGACTCTTAAGTATATACTATTTTGCAAGTAACACAAAAATCATTATAGAATTGGATACACCAGGATTTATTGTCAGCAGATGCAGTAAATTCTAGTGACCATCTTGAGAATAATGTGGTATAGGTCTGGTGATGTTTAGCTCAAGTTAACGAAATTTCCAAAGTCTCTAACTTCCTTGACTAGGCAAAGGGGTGTGCTTTGGGCTTTATGTCTTGGAGGTTGAATATATTTTAATTCAAATCAGTGTCCTGTGGAAAAAAAAATGCAAAAGGAAAGCATATGGTCAGAGGACTCCAGCCGTTCCTGATAAGGTGGTAAAATGGCATATTCAGGAACTGCTCAAGACAAGGATCTGAGTGCTTTGTGTCCCCAGTGTTCAGCATCTACCTCCTCAGTTTTGTGCATCTACCTTGTCCCTCCTGCTGTGCAGAGACCTGTTTGTATCCCAGCCCTTGGAATGCTCCTGTGCCTTCTGTATTGCCTGCCTTTTTCAGCTGGGGACAGAAGCCCTCCAGAACCTGCCAGATCAGTTGGGGACTTCCAGGACCTGGGGAAGAAAATTCTGGGAACAGGAGTTTTTTCCACCAGAGTATGAGGTTGTGGGAACGATGGAAGCAGCAGTTGGAACTGCATTTTGGAAGCAGCAGTTTCAGTATCTTCTTGGAAGGAACAGTGCAGGGGAGATCCAGCTGTATTGTAACGGAGAGAAATGAGGGGCTGGGAGCTGAGTGGTGAGAGTTTGGAGCACCAAGAAGAGTTTCCATGCAGTTGCAGAAGAAATTGAGAAGAGACAGGTGAGAGGGACCTCAGCCATGTCTATAGTATCTGAGGGGAGAGTGTCAAAGGGATGGAGGGATCCAGGCTCTTCTCTCTAGTGCTGTGCACCAGGACAAGAGGCGACGGGCAGAAACTGATGCACAGGAAGTTCCATCTGAACATGAATAACAACTTTACTGTGCAGGTGACCGAGCACTGGAACAGCCCAGAGAGGCTGTGGAGTCTCCCGCGTTGGAGATACTCTGTTGTAAGTGTCTGGATGCAATCCCGTGCAATGTGCTCTGGGACCCTGCTTGAGCACAGATCACCTACTGTGATCCTTTCCAGCCTCGCCCATTCTGTGATTCCCTTAATTCCGTCTGAATTACTTGAGACAATCATGATTTCTCCTGCTCTGGCTGAGAGTGTTTGCTACTTCCTTTATTATTTCTGCCGCAGAAGGAGCTGTTGGTAGGAGATTGTGGGGACAGTGTCGCTCTGGTTCCGCCCAGTGCGGAAGCTGAGGGGAGTTACTCGATTTCCATGGCCTATCCTCGGCCTGACGGGCAGGATGGGGCGGGCCAGGCTTCCCGCGCCCGGCACCGCCCTCAGGGCGCCCGCGCGCGGACATGGCGGCGCCCGCCTACCCCGCCTGGGTGACGCGCTGGGTGTCGGGGCAGTGGCGGAACAAGAAGCGGCCCCCGACGCTCCGCCCGCCCCGGACACTGGCGCTGGCCGACAAGGTGGCGAACCGCCGGGAGCAGTCGACAGGTAAGCTGCCGGCGGCGGGGAGCTGAGCCGCCGCTGTGCCCCGGGAGGGGCCGCGCTGCTGGGTTGCGCTCCGGTGGGCAAGAGGGGAGGGGCTGGTCTGGGCCATGGATATTCCGCGTGGATTCTGTGGGAAGGATCGCTTCCTCACACCGCAACCCTGAGTTTGTGTCGTACGTGAGTCAGACACGTTAAAAATTCAGTCAGATGCTGAATGGCTGCAGCGCTTTGCTTTCTGTTAGCAACAACTTCTCTGCCCAAAGCAAAGCTGGGATCTTGAGTTATGCATTTTCTCACCTGCCTCTACCCCGTTTTAAACTTCTTTGGAGGTTGTTAGCATGAAATCCCAATCACCTGAGATTTCTGGTTGTGTCTTTCCCTTCAGAGGCAACGTGCATTACGGAGATGTCAGTCATGATGGCCTGCTGGAAACGGAATGACTTCAACGATGCGCCTTGTGCCGAGGAGATCAGGACGTTCTATGACTGCGTGGCCAAGGCAGAAGTAATTAAGGCCTCTTTTATGTTCTTAAAGGCTAGTAGTAGGAAAGGAGGAAGCCTCCAGTCATTTTTTATATGCCAGTAAGAATAATGTTCTCTGAAGGATTTGATTGTCACCCATTTGAGCAACTAAGAGCAATGAAACTGGTGAAGGATCAAGAGGCTCCTACAAGGATGGGCTGAGGTAGCTGGGGTTGTTTAGTCTGGAGAGGAGGCTCAAGGGAGACCTTATTGCTCTTTACAATTACCAGGTATGGGTCGATCTCTTGTCCCAGGCAACTGGTGATGTGACAAGAGGACATAGCCTTGAGCTGTGCCAGGGGAGGTTCAGGCTGGACATCAGGAAAAGCTTTTTCAGTGAAAGGGTGCTGAAGCATTGGAAGAGGCTGGCCTGGGAGGTGGTGGAGTCACCATCCCTGGTGGCATTCAGGAAATGACTGGATGTATCAGTTAGTGCCATGGTCTAGTTGGCAAGGTGGCCATAGGTCAAAAGGTTGGACTCAATGATCTTGGAGGTCTTTTCCAACCTGTTTCTGACTTTAAAGGCCAGACATTTTTGAAAAATAAATTTCATACTGCTTAAAAATTAGGGGTGTCTGATTATATATTATATATTGATATACTATAATAATACTATATGATAAGCTTGAAATAAAATAATTTTCAAAATAGACTATAGGTAAGTATATGTACTAAACTTGTCCTTAAACTGGTTTCAGGTTTCCATTTTCTTTCAGTAACAGTGTCATCATTTAAATAGTGAGTTTTTGTTGCTGTTTGACAGCATAAGTGAAAAATTATCCACAATTTCTTTGGTAGATGACAAAGAATCAAACAAAGATGAAAAAATAACAGAAAGTAAAAAGAAAAAATCTGGGTTGTTACCAGAAGTTTATATCATTGTATCATAACTAAGAATATGGAAGGATATAATCTTCACAAGATCACAGTCATTAATTGCATCATTTCAAGGTCATCACTTGTAATTATTGAGCCAAGTGCTATGGTAAGTGTTCCTTAAAGAAACAGCATTTTTTTGAAAGAAACGTCCCTGTACAATTAGAAGTAGTCTCTGGGAATGAGCATCAACTTTGCAAATAAACAGCAGTAAATATTTTGAGGAGTTTTTTTCTCTTTCAGAAAGAGCGCAAGAATCAAAATGAGGACACCCTGTCATCCAGGGGAAATTTGCCTTCAAGCAAAGTGAACAAGCTCCTGAAGAGGTTTCCTCAGATCACACGTTATGTATAATGTACTTTATGAAAGAGACTGTGGACAAGCAATTAAAGTTGGGGTCTTGGTTAAAAAAAAGGAAAGTCAAGTCGAGTGATTTTTTTGATGTCAAGTGGTGTGTGGGTCTTGACCCTGCTTTTGATTCCAGAGCAAAAACCATCCATCTTGAGTATCAGCTGATTTTGTTCATGAGGCTCTTGGGTCTTGTAGTGTTAGGATTTCTGCAGTGTGTTTTTCAGCTTGCCTACTCAGGTCCTCACTGTTAAATAAAACCTTCTAGGCATTCATGCAAGTGCATTTTGTAACAGGACATGACTTCTTCATGTGCAAGCTTCTTGCCCAGCTCTGGAGCTGCTATCAAAATGTGCTTGGGTTCAAACACTGAGCCAAGTTAGAATTAGTAATGATATGATATTAATGATAGTAGTAATTGATGGTATGATGGCTCATGCTCTTCTTACATGGGTGTATACACAATCTGGTGCCTCTTGAAATTTTTAAAATTTCCACTGCTGTAAAAAAAAAGGCTGTAAAATTTAGAAAAAATCTCCAGCAAAATACCTTGTTCATACATAATACAATGGTAAGTATTAAATATAACTTTAACATGGAAGTTTGTGATTTAGACCCTCTGATTTGCAGGTGGGACAGGTATGGTGCCACATAAGTTTGATTATTTTGTCTGTACTGTAATAAAGCAAGACTGGTGTTTGACTTGGGCAACTCATAATCTACAACAAAATGTTTCATTTTTTTTTGGTAAAAAAACCTAAAAGGGGGAGAAGAAGTTAAAGCATGGACTGATAATTGAAATAATGTAATTAATTTCTAGTTTTGATTGGGGGGGGGGTAGTGAGGAGGGGGAGTTTCCACTGCAGTACCACAAAACTACAGGCAGGTTCTTGGGAACAGTACCTCATTGGTGGGGAAAATGCAGGGTCTTGGAGAACTAATGTTATAATCATTTATATCAGTAATTCTTTGGAGCATGTAGAAGAAGCAGAATAAGAGGAAAGTCAGGCACACACAGACTGTGTGATTACCCATGGGTGGCTGTGGAGTTTGCTGGAGCTGAGTCCTCTGGAGCCCCAGGCTGATACCTGTTCATCACAAAAATTTTGGTCAGGTGAAGGCTTTCAAGTTACTGAAGCAACATTTGCTTAGTGGTTAATTACAGAGGCTCATTAGTGGATAATCCAGGGTAGCTTATTCTTTTGTTGCTATTATGACATAATTGGGTCTTTTAGAGGATTTGGGGTCAGTAAGAACACAGTATCCACATCTGAGTTTGGAAAAACGCTTTGGTTCTGTGGCATTTTGCATTTTCTGTCCAGAAGACATTGTGAAAAAGAATGCTATTTGCTTTTCCTTCTTTTCTGAAGGATATAAGCTAGATTGAGAGTGAGGAACTGATTTACCTCTGTTGATGATGATTTTTCTTCATATTAAAACTTGGAACAAAAGTGTTATGCATCTCTTAAGATAGCACTTGTGCTGAATGTACCAAATTCTAGTGTGTGTGAGGAACAGTCTTACATAAGAGGCTGTAACAGAGAAACTTAATACCTTTTTCTATTTTTACTTTTGAAATTTTGCACTGCTCCCACTAATCTGAACAGCTATTTTTGTATTATACTGCTTCATGGTGAGCTTCACAAATTCAGTTGTTTGGGGCTCTAACTTTTTATATATCTACTATAAGCTTGGAATTACTATGCTAAGGTTTTCCAATCCTTTTATTTATTGAGAGGAAGGAAGCAATGCTTTTCAGGTGCACCCAGGTTTTACAGTGCTTCCTTTAAAAGTACTTGAGCAATTCTTTTGCTTCTTTTGTTATAGCCAAAACCACCCCAGTTACTGATTGTCCTTGGCAATTTCAGCTGCTGGCCATTTTCCTGTATCTCACCATTAAGCTTATATTAGGTGTTTAAATGCATTCTGTGACATGCTTGTATTGAGGATCACTCCATTAATAGTTCATGTGTGTACCCACAGGGACCAGCACTGTTCTTTCTGAGCTGGGTTTGTACTATCCCATGATGCTGTTGCTGAGGGGTAAGGAAAACTCTGTTCTGGTGTGGAGCACACTGGTTAAGAACATTGCTGCAGAGACCTGTATGTGATTGCGTGGTGAGGAAAGAATTAAACAAAAGCTGACTAGCTGTTCTACCCTCCTAAGTCGGATTTACAGGATTTAAGCAGATCTGCTGGAATTCCTTGGTCTTATTCCTGTACCTTATAGCTTGACTGCTATACCAGCTCTGGGTATGATTGCTGTTAACTACTCCTTTTAGGCTTTCACTGTGGATATAGCATTAATATTTCAGCTGGTCCTGATGAACAGTTGTCCTGCTAGTTCAGGAGAAATAGGTTGAATTCCAGAGAGCCAGGGACATTTTAGAAGATGGCATTTCTTGTTCAGAAGGGTCAATAAAGGAAAATCTGGTAAAATCAAGACAGACTCTGTAGGGAATCACAGACTTCCTGTAATAGAACTATGCATATGTCATGGTGAGAAGGTGACTACTGTTAAATAGCAGATTTAGATATTTACAACTACTTCAAATTTGCCCATACAAGAAAGTTCAGGATGTTTTACCTGTAGATACATTACTGATCTAAACTGCTGTAGTTATATTGGTATAATTCAGTTTTAGGTCTTCCTCTCCACCATGGAGAGTAGTCATGAGAAGCTTTTGAGATCCACCTCTCTCAAGAAATGTCATTATGTGTGTGAGAAAAACAAGGGGGCTCTTGGTAAGAAGGAAATAGTTCCAAAACTACCTGCCAGAGAGGAGACAACTGGAAAACCCTCTGTGTCTTCCTGGTTCATCATTCTTCCAGAAAGTGAATACAGGCTTGGACTTCTGTTTTTTTCTGCTTTTAGTGTACTGGTCTGTTTCCTTTAAAATTACCTAATCTATTAAATCACTTTATTTAGGAAAACTTTGCCTTGACAGGGAGGCAACTTAGAAGGTACCATGAGAAAAATCCAGTGCAGACTTCTGTTTGAGGTGTGAAACCCTGTTCGTCAGAGGCCTGAACAGGGAGTGTCTCACCGCATGGAGTTCTGAATGAGCACCAACAACCTCTAGTAAGGAGCTAGTTTTCTCTGAATGCTAATAGAATTTCTGTTCCTGTTTCCAGTATGTCCTTTCCTTGTGTGTTCAGTGGAATAAATGGTTCTAAATTCTAACACAGTCCCATATTTTTTATTTTGTGCAGCTCCTTTGTGTTACTGCTGCCTGAGAGTTATAATGTGATGCAGTGTGATGCAGCATCTAAGCTATTTCCATCCCCTGCTGCCCTGATCGTCTGCCTCCCTGACTATGAGGATATAGGAGATTTGCTCCTGATTAACTGAGTGTAATTCTTGGCCAAATCCACTCCAGAAACAGCTTCTTTTTATCATTAGTGACTCCTGTAAAAGATCCAGCATGGAGGGAAATTTCCTTGCTTTTGATGAGTGACTTGAGGATGAGGCAACACAGAACTGTCACATGAAGTGAGTAATGGGCAAAAGTGAAGGAAGAAAAAAAAGACGCTTTTTGTGAAGTCAGTAGATTTTTAGCAGCCTGTTCCTTGTTTTTATGCTGAAGGTGTCTTTGCAAGTGCTATTCAGCAGACTCGGCCAGAAGTGAGCTCATTCCTAAAGGTGACCTTCATGTTTCATGCTGTAGAACACCACGAATTCATTGCTCCAAAATCAGAATATAAGAAATGCCCATTAGACTGAGCAGAGAAGCAGCACCAGGAAAGCGTAAAAAAAGCATTTTCAAGACTGAATAGCTTCAAAGACCCAATTGCTTTCTTAGATTTAATAGTGTTTAAAGCTTGTGGCCTTGAACCCTAATTCATATGAAGGACCAGCAAGTTGAAAATGCTAAAAACCCCTATGGGATAGGATTGTTCACGGTAATACCATAATGATTAACCCTCTGGAAAGCATCCTAGGCAATTGAGGGAAAATATAGCTCAAGGTCAAGGAGACACTCGATGGCAAAGTTCTCTGGTGGCAATAACCACGATGGCAAGATAGAGGGCTGAAAATTGGGAGCACCCTGGAGAGGGCTGTGCCACCTGTGGGTTTTCTGGGGGAGATCTGGAAGCTGCTTAACATAGAGTTTTCTGGGTCCCATTTACCTGGGTTCAAATCTGAGGAGAGCTGACCTCGGGAAGCTGCAAGCTGCTAATCGAGGAGGCAGCGGTGGGGGGGATAAAGTCCAGATTCCTTCCAAGAAGTCTAATCTCTGGCAAATGTACGCGCACACGCCGTTGCCTTTCCCAGCTGTTGCTGGGGGCTTTGCAATAGGACGCAGCCCCAGCTCCTTGCCGTGCTGCAGCCTCTGTGCCTTGGGAAGAGGAGGAAAAGGCAACTGGGGAAGGACATTGCAGGAGAGGAGAGGAGCGGAGCGGCGGCCGGCCCCGCCGCTGGGCAGAAGGGGCGGGGAGGCGGAGGCTGGCACTGCGAGCAGCGCGTACCTGGAGCACGGGGGCGGGGTGAGGAGAGGGCTCAGGGCTGTGCCCCAGCGCTTGTGCTCCCCTCCGAATGTGCCAGAGAAATTCGGGGACGTGTTCTGTTCCCTTATTTCTCTCCTCCCTTCTTCCCCTTTCTGAAGAGAAGAATCAATGAGAAGAGATGGGGAGAGGAATAGGAAAGTGAAATTCTAAGATGCCGCGGGGAACTTTGATCCCTCTCCTCACATCCCTTTCCCTGCGTAGCAATGGATAAGGCACCCCGCTCCCTCCGGTGCGGAGCGGCTAGCGTGGGAAAGCACACCCTGGCAGCTGAACGAGAATGTGATGCTTGAAGACACTTTGTATACGAGGGATGGAAATCTCCAAAATACTCGGGCTCCTGGTAGAGCTCTCAAGTCTGCTATCCTGTCTCAGATGTGTGGAGGTAAGAAAAGGTTGTTTTTCTATCTGTTTGTAAGAAGTCACATGGCTCTTTAATATCCTCCCTGTAAGTGGATCTTGTTATTACTTGAAAATGTTTCTAGAGCATTTAGGCAGTTGTGGTCTCTGGGAAGGACTGGGGGCTTGGGGAGAGATTTGTTTCATTGTGCATATAAATCCAGAAAAAGAAATAAACCGGGAAAGCAGAATACACAAGGGCTTGCAGATGCTTTGGCTTGGGTTTCCAGTGTTTCTCATGCACTGCAGTGACCCTGGCAGGAAAGATCCTTTATTTCTGTTCTTTGCTGATTGTCTCTCTTGCTTGTGGACAGATGATTTATAGCTGCACAGACCTGGGACAATGCCTGCAGCATAGGCTGTTTGCACTGAATTTAATTGGTGGCGGTGGTCAGCGTTGGAGTATTTTAGAAGCTGCTACAGAAACTGGCAGCAACTGATTTTTCATTAGAAGGGAAGCTTATTACTTGGACTGAAGTACTTTTGTTTGTGGTCCAAGAAGAGCAGGTTCAGTCTCTCGTATTTATATCACTGGCAGGCTTACGTGTGTGTGCAGGTGTGCACTAAAAGCTAGGGATTGAGGGACCTGGATTGTGGTGCAGTCACAGAAGTACAGCTTAGCTCACTTTCTACTCTCTGCAAAGAGCTTTGAGATCATCAGGTAAGTCCTTCAGTGTTGTTGGTCTGGAAACCATATGTAGGCTTGCAACAGCCTGATACATGCAAACAGATGAATTTTTTGCCTGAAAAGAGTTTATCTGTGCATCCCTTTGTGCATACAAACCTGAGATCTGATCTGCTACTACTGAACCATGTCAGGAATTCATCTTCCATATGCAGTATCCCATTCTGACTTCTGGGAAGTGATGCTGGAGCGTGGCCATGGTTGTCAGCACCTTCTGGATCATATTCATAAGGTTGATTTGAAAATTATATCTGACATGAATAGGTGTTGTTCTTGTCAGATTTCTGTGGGAATTACCTCTGCTTATTCCAGAAGTGGATTTGGTTTAATTCCAAATATAACTTTTCCTATTTTCCAGGAAGAGGTGAAGCTGAGAGAGGCAAAATTACTACATTTTGAAGAAAACCACAACCATTACCAATAGCTAGTATCCTTTAGCTATCCTTTAGCTGCACATCTCTGCTCTATGAATTACAACTCTTTCTTCCTATAAAAGTATTAGAAATGTTCATTTAGAAACTAATTAAACTACAAGGAGCTAGCAGAAGCATGTATAGTTTCTTCTTTTCACTCTGAGTCTGTGAAGGTCTTGCACTTGCTTGCACACTATGTAGTGATGTTGAGTGGAGATCCCTATCTCTCAGCCTATAGTCACATAGCAACCACAAAAAAACCTGCCCATAAGAGGAAATGCAGTTGTGGGGTCAGACAGGACACTAGAATTCTGAGGACTTTGTTTCATATTTTTTGGTTTTAACTATTTAACCCCATTTAGATAATAACAGCATAGGCCATATCATATTTTCAAGTATTAAAAACAAAATCCTCAAAAGGCCTTGGATTTTCTTCCTTTGATGTTTCCTACTTTATACATGGATGTTTATTACCATTTTTACAGGAATCCTGTGGGCATCATCTTCTCACTCAAGTAAATAAATATCTGCTACTATAGCTGTAGATGACTTGCCCTATAAACAGTGAGAGGATTAGTAGTTACTATTTTTCTTACTGATAATAATGATTTTCTTCTAGATTTCCTTTCCATAGGCATATCATTCAGACTTCCAACTCTGTTGAAAAAAAACAAGCAGAGCCCAGTAATGTAGTGCTTAGATCAAGGGTAAATCTCTGCAGGCCAGTAATTATTCATTTTGTTGTTAGTGGACAGAGCTATGGTTGTATTTGAAGAGGAGCAACGGGGAGACCAGGGAAGAGGCTGGTTACTAGGGTGTGTTTGCCCAAAGCTGAGCTGCTTTTAGGACATGCCCATGTTTATTTCATTGGATAATCATCTCTCTGCTTTTGTTCTGTTTCTTTTCCCAGGCTTTCCTGGGATCCAAGCCCAACCAAAACCATTTGCAGAGTGCAGGTAAGAACAAGAAGTTATTAATTCAGTCATTGGGCAGACTCTTTCCTGCAGTGGTGATCTGAGACCATAGGCACGATGAACCACTGCTACCTGGCCTTCTTCCTTTCTTTTCATCACTTCTTCAATCTTTTCTCTTGTCCCAATGCCTGTTCATCTCCTTCACCAACATGGCCAGACTACTTCTGTTCCTTCATGTCGAATGCTTTTGCAGCTCCCTGCTCCTCCTACACGTTCTTTTCTTTAATCTCTTTCTTTGCCTTGGTCTTTTTTACATGCTTACTTTTCCTCTGCTCTAACAACTACTGAATTCTCAGACACCCTCTCAGACACCATCCCAGTTGATGCCACACATATGATTTGTTTTCCAGGCACTGACTTCCAACTGCTTCTCATTTTTGTACCTTGCATTTAACCTTCAGCTGTCACTTACCCCCTCTGGGCCTGGCAGTGGCTAGAAAGCAAATGACAGGATGCAACATTACTTTGTACCCTTGCTCTTACCCCCAGGTGCAGAAGGGTTTTCTGAAAGTGTTGGCTTCTTTCTGTTTGCTTAGTGAGTAGAGCTGTAAATGTCCCTTTCTCAGTCTACTCTTCCCATGTTATGGACTCTATAAAGCCCACAAAACCTGGGTGTTTTTTTCCCACTTTGTTATTTCAGTGCCATGAATGGAGAGTTTTCTCCTTTTTTAAGGATCATAATAAATTAATTATTGGGTATTTTTACACAGGATATTTCACATGGGCACTGAAACATTGGCACCTGCACTTCCCACAAAATAAATTTGAATATATTAGCCAAGTCCAGATGAGCAAGGTGATCTGCTCATGTGTATAGGGAAACTACATGCTATGAAATACATTTCCCACCTTCCTGCTTTGTGCAGTTCTGCTCCGAAGTGAATACATGTATTGCATGTACAGTAATGGGAACCAGTTCAACTTGTCATGTTTGGGCCCTAAGTTAACACTCTTCAAAGGTCTGTCTGGGCAGTTCATTGCTTCAGATCAGTTTGTGATTTAGACAGTGAGTACTATGAATATTCTTTGAGCAGCACCTTGGAGAGTGATAGAGTTTGAATCAAGCAAGCAGCAGCTGAGACTGCAAACACCAGGGGTATTTCTCCTAACCAGCTGGTGTCTCCCATGTTGTCTGAGCTTCAGTGTGTGATGGTGATGGTAACCCTCCCTTCCTGTGCCCAGCTCCCAGCGTGTGTCCTGTGGGACCTCTTGGCTACTACAATGGCTCACTGGCGGTCACCGAGGCCGGGGCAGAGTGTCTCAACTGGGCAGAGTTCCCTGACTATGTCCAGCAGTACCCAGACCGTGGCCTGGGGGACCACAACTTCTGCAGGAACCCAGACGGGGGAGCAACGCCCTGGTGCTTCTACAGGCTTGTGTCAGGAGCCATCGGCTGGGCCAACTGTGACTGTAACCAAGGTAAGGGCTCTGCTGCCTCAGGGCTCAAGCCAGCAGTGTGTGCTGCATAGACTTGCAAGTGGCAGGTGGAACACCCTGTGGAAAAAGCACAGTACAAAGGCTATTCTGAACTGTTGAAGTAATTAATACTAGAGGCTAGCCTGTGTGGGAGAAAAACGTCTGTATATCGTAGGGGGTGGATTTAAGCTGCTGTAGCTGTAATGCCTTGTATAGATGTTTTATTCTTATACAAAGAGACTTCTTTTTTTCTACTGCTAACTTATGCCACTTTGAAAACAGTTTCAGTTATGTAGAAAACAACCCACTTCTTCTCCTTTAGGGTCCATATCAGAGCATTCCTCACGTAAGTGTAGCAGTTCAAATATAAACTACTTCTTCAATATAAAATCTTTAGTGACAAGGCAGGTCATAGGCTCATGTTAAACTTCCTCAGTGCTGGCAGAAGGACTGAGCTCTCTCAATGCATTGGCTGCTGTGCAGCATTCTTGAAAATGTCCTGTTTTCTGACCTTCCTTGCTTTTCCTGCATTTTGCAGAACAGTTGAAACACCAGTTTAATAAATGAATTGACAGTCTTTTCCCTTGCCAGTGGATGTTCTTTCAAAGATGTCTTCATTAAAGAGAAGAATATAAGTGTAGTGGTGCTGTGTTCCTGTACTGAGGTGCTGCAGACAAGTGTGTCCTTTGCAAGTACTAAAACTGAGTGAGGAAATGTGCCTTCTAAACAGTGGTAAAATTTTTGGTGGGGTGGGAATTGAAAGGATATTTACACTGGCACTTCCTTTTCTTAGAGAAATTAAAGAGGATTCATCTGCTGTTACTAAACATCTCACTGTAGCAACACTGTCATGCAGGTGAAGTGGTTGATGGAAAGAGATCAGTGGAGTGTCAGAAGTAATTAGATAGATTTTCACACACCCCTTCAAGATAGCATGTAAAATCATCCCCATTCACAGAAGGAGAATCCAGGAGCTTTTGCAGAAGCCAAATTTCCTGCTGGTATTACCATGGATTTGAAAAGACCATAACACCAACCATCCTCCCAATCAGCCATTGCTGGGACTGGGAAGGTGCCCCACCCCACACTCTTTCATGCACATCACTTTAGTGCCAGCACAGGTAAAACAGGGATGAAAGAAGTCAAGTGCAGTTCAGCTCAGCTACATGCAAATCCAAGACTTGCTGGTCTGAAGCTTCTATCAGCAGATAGCAGCTGGTTTTTGGTTGTTTTTTTTCTCTTTGGAAGGTGCTGTGCGGTTGGCTGAAGACAGTAGTGTGGAGCTGTACTTCAATGGACTCTGGGGTACCATCTGTGCTGACCACTGGACTGACTGGGATGCCAGTGTTGTCTGCAGGCAACTAGGTCTCAGGTGGGAACCTCAGTCTAATTGTGAGAGGTACATGCTTGTGTGGCTTCTGAAAGAGCAGCCTTTGTGGTTACAGTCCCTCTGGCTGGCAGAAAGGAGTTTTGTGGTCTAATTTTCCACTTACCAGAGTCCTTTTTTACTGTTTTCTTTCTGTGGCTACCCCCAACCCAATCATCATTTGCAAGAAGTTTTTGAAACAATAGTCTCTGCTTCATGCTCCAGGCTGTGAAAAGTGAGCTATGAGATCACTTTCCCTTTTTATGATCATCAGCTGGAGTTACTATAGTGATCTAACAGAAATTTTAGGAGTATGAATGCTCTTTGGGTGTCTGGGATTTGGACATTCAAACTTCTAAACAGCAAGGAGATAAGGTCCACAGAGAGGGAAGGTGATTCAGACAGTTTGGTGTTTGAGCCTGTTGATGGGTTTGTTCATTGCTCTCAAATGAGAGTGCCATTTCTGACTACATCAACTCCTCTGCAGTAGGTGGGCACATAAAGGGGTTGGGAAGTGCTGTGTGCTTGATTGTGCTTTCTCATTAGATGGTAAATGGTCACCCCTTTATGCACTTCCAATTAACTGGGCACACCAGGATGTGAAATGCCACAACTGGCCTGGAGAGTCACAACAACAGCAGGAACTTGTAAGTCAAGCTGTGCTGTGGCATTTCATTGCTCTGTTGCATCCTCTGTACCAGTGAGATCGGCACAGCTGGCAAGAAGAGTCATTCTGGACCATGGCCTGTTCCCCTGCACCTGCAGTCAGCAAACTGCCATGGAGATGAGGAAGCCCTGCTGCAGTGTGGCTATCAGGAAGCTCTGTCAGGAGTTTGTAACCAGGGGAGTGCCGTGGTAACTTGTGTTCCTCCAGAAGGTAAATCTCCAGGGAAAGATCTCAATTGCCCAAAGATGGCTGGTGCTTATGACCACATCCCCTTTTTATCAAGCCAGGTTTTTGTCTACAGGCAGAAAACTCCTGGTCACCACAGCAGCCAATTAAAGAGACAGCACTATCCCACTCTGGGGGCTGCAATCATGGGTACTTGCTGGGGGTCTAGAGGGGAGGATGTGGTAAGAGAGCATCAGGAGAGCTCCTCTGGCTAGAGAATGGTTCTACACCCTAAACTGCTGGATGTGCTTTGTCTCTGTCTTGTTCTGTTGTGCTCTCTTTCCATTCCTTGAAGCACAGGTGTAGGTGCCCCACTTCGTATAGTTGGGGGGAAGGAGAGCTTTGAAGGCCGAGTGGAGGTTTACCATGATGGCAAGTGGGGAACCATCTGTGATGATCAGTGGGACGACCAGGATGCTGAAGTAGTCTGTAGACAGCTGGGACTCAGGTAATTTCCTTGCTGAATGTCATGGAGTAGTAATAGAAGTAGGCAGAATGAAGAACATGAGAGCATGTCCATTCACTATACTACCAGCCCTTCCTATAGGAGATACACAGAAATCTTGGGAAACATAATTCTGGATTGATGGGATGATAAAGGGATTTTGTACCCCATTCTTCTCAATTTTATGGGTTTGTGCTGTGTAAAAAAAAAAGGTACATTCCTGTCTCAGGATTGTGTTTACCCCTGTTCAACATTTTTGCATAAATCCTAATACAAATCTTATTGGCCTCAATGACAACTTGTCATGGTGATTTCCATATGTGAACTGCAGTTTCTTACTTGGTTAAGTTTAAACACCTCTAGTTTCACTGGCTGCCCTTATCCTCTTCAGACAGGAAAGCAAGAGAGACCACCTCATTCTTCTGTGTGCAATTCAATGCTCAACGTGGGAGCTGTTGTATACGGACCATTCTTGAAAATCACTTCAGTACAGGATTATTTAAAATAGATTCTTCAAATTTGAGATCCCTCAATCTTTAGGAGTTTTGCCTGTTATGAGATTGTAACTGAGACTGATGGTACATCATTGTCTGCAGAAGTCTGAACTGTTCGTGTTGTAGTAACATTTTTGTTATTTGCTGGAAGGGCTCATTGCAAACTTTCCAATAACATATTTCTATTAACAGTTGGCAACTCCACTGTATCAAAAATACAGATGATCTATGGGAGGACAGTGACCTAGCATAGGAGAGTCCCTGTGCAAGGCAGAATCTGAGGACACAGGACTGTGGCCTTCCTTACTGAGCATACATATCTGTAATGTTTACAGTGGGACCCCAAAAGCCTTGTCATGGGCTCACTATGGACAGGGATCTGGCCCAATCCTGCTGGATGAAGTGCAGTGCTCAGGGAATGAACTCTCCCTTGATCAGTGCAAGAAGAGTGACTGGGGACAGCAAAACTGTGACCACATTGAAGACGCTGGGGTCTCCTGTGACCCTTTCACAGGTACAGATGTACAGCTCTGCCAGTCAGATGCAGTCGGTCTCACCCCCCATTACTTGACTTGCTCAGCAGGTAACCCCCTTATCCTGGTTCAGGATCCTGCACAGCTTCCATATATGGCTCCCACAAGGGCTGCTGGATGTGGAGGCAGAGAGTAGATCAGAGGCAGACTCAGTGGTGTTCCCACGGTTTTGCTCAGGTAGTGTGGAAAGACTGAAGTGAATCCTCCCCTGACAGATGGGTATATTTGGAACCAATGAACGTTTGTATTTTGAGTATCCACAGACATCTGTCTCTTTTGTTTCTTTCACTCATGGGTGGTACAGAGACCTAGCATGGTGCACAGGCTGTTTCTTTTCTCCCCTGCTGAGTGCTGCCCTTTCCTTCTCCCACCCCCTGCAGAGGGCACGGTCCGGCTGGCCGGCGGCCGCAGCCCCAGCGAAGGCAGAGTGGAAGTTTACTACAATGGAGACTGGGGCACAGTGTGCGATGATGGCTGGACAGACCTTGCTGCCCAAGTGGTCTGCAGGCAGCTGGGCTTCAGGTAGGACTGAGAGTGTGTAGTGTCTGTACTTCCTAATTTCCAGGATTAGATTCCATCACCATTGACTGGGATAGGCCGGATCTTAATCCTTCAATGGTGTTTTTGTTAGAAGGCTTATTACCATTATACAACTTATTAAGGAAAGATTGCTAGGTATCCACATCCTTTCCAAGGGGCAAAAATAAATCTATTATCTCTTGCCTCAGCCTGTTTTGAAAGCAGATAACAGGCTTAATACTGTCCTTATGAACCCCTCAGCAAAATCAGAGAATTTTCTTTAACGCTCCTTAAATTTGCAGGTGTCATTTCTACTTTATCAGTAAAAGGATATCACCTATCTGCTCCAAATGTATCAACTTCAGTAGCTGAACAAAGACCATCAGGGCAAAAAAGAGTAGCAATAGGGATTTTCAGCCCATTGCTGAGCTGTCATCCCTTCAGGTAGGAGTTGGGAAAGATTTAAAATCAGGATACTCTTGCCTTTGAGCTAGTAAAATGGGGTTATGTGGCTTTTTTAAACATGATTAGGGTTTCCTTCTAAAATTTCAACTTTATAGATGAAAAAAAGACTAAATTCTTCCGTTTGAGTTCAGCTACGTACTATGTTTGTCATCTCGTTTAGTGCCTAAGTTTGCAGCCTTCTGCAGTTGAATTCCAGGTAGCTGTTTCCTATAAAAAGAAATAGAATTACTTAAATGTTGACATTTTTGATGCCTCCTCTGCCAGCCCCTTCTCAAATTGATGTACCTGCCATGACTGCAAAGCAGCCTCTGCTGGCCCTCTGTGCCTTTGAATGTACCTTTGACCAAACACTAGAAAATTGACTGGTCTGGGGAGGCCTCCCTGAAAACTGAAGCTGGCAAGACATGAGGGTGCTTGGTTGCCATCCTGTTTGGCCACTGAGTTGTTTAGGTCAGAAGGCCACCGGTACCATAGTTAAGCAGGGGAGTTTCTCTTTGGATCTGAGCTTGGGTCCTTCTGTGGCATTTAGAGTTTCAATGTTAATTTTTTCAATGACAATTTTCTGTTTCCTTCCTCTAGTGGTCCTGCTGCCCTGGCCTCTGAAGGAGAGTATGGTGCTGGCCAAGGCTTCATCTTACTGGATGATGTGGCATGTGTGGGGACAGAGCTGACTCTCCTGGACTGTCCCCACAGCAGCTGGGGGCAGCATGACTGCTCCCATGCTGAGGATCTGGGAGTCCGCTGTTCCCCAGAAAGCAACACGGTCATGGATGGCAGCCTGGGTAACTCACCTTGCTCTTGCCCTGAACAGTGGGAAAATTTCACTTTCTGGTCTGTTCCCTTGTAAGCTCTGGCAGATGTGGGAGTTTTCCCTGTGCTGTTTCAATAAGGGGTCTGCTTTTTGAGGAGGAATGAGCCCTGGCTGAATTGGGGCAGAGCCACAAATCTGTGGCTCCACCAGACCTACTATCAGACCAGCAGATAAATGGAAACTGGAGAGAGTTGCATTGGCAGTCTCTGAAACAAACCTCAGGGGCTGAGGGACAGTGGCTGCCTTAGTGTGCCATTGCTCAAGGGAACACTTTTACTAGACCTTTTAGGAAACTTAGGTGTGATTACATTAGTGCCACACCTAGCAAAGACAGGAGGATTTCAGATGCAAGGGGTTGTTGTTTGCACTCCCTTTTGTGGATGGCACAAATTGTGAAAGTATTTCAAGTTAGCATAATTTCCTCATTTATATAATGCCTGATACTCTCCCCTTTCCTTACTACAGGAGACTTTCCAGTTTGTTAGACATTTGTTTGGCATCCAAATTTTTGTTTTTCCTGGATATAGAACTCTTCTCTTGCTTAGAATCATGTAATAGTTTTACAATTCAATTGATTTTTTTTTCCCCAGGCATGTTTAAGCTTGTCTAACTCTTGCCTTAGGATTAATAACTTTCTTTCTGTTCTTATTCTCCTCTTTACCCAGCTTTCAGAGTATGATCCACTGATGATTTCCAGTATGTATTAAATAAATTAGTATGTATATAGTGTTCTGATTCAGCACAGAGGTAAAATGTCTTCATATAGACACACTTCTTTATTTTCTTTATTTTTTTTCTCCCTTTTTTTCCTTTTAGTTTTAAGCTTACTGATGTCTGGGATTCATCTTTTTCTGTAGAACGCAAGTTTTGGACAGCTGACCCCTCTGGTTATTTTGCTTGCAGCAGCTCATGTGTTTTCTGCTTCAGGGCCTCCTGTGCGGCTGGTGGATGGAGAAAGCACCAAGGAGGGTCGGGTTGAGGTCCTGCTGAACGGGCAGTGGGGCAGTGTCTGTGACGATGACTGGACAGACAGAGATGCTGCAGTGGTTTGCAGGCAGCTGGGATTCAGGTAAGAGCTGTGGTACAGGCATCTTACGGACAGAAACAGCTCTCAGGAGCACTTCTGGACTTGTTTCTAGAGGCTTAGTTTTAGTTTTGGCACACCCAGATATGCTTGAGGGAGTAGGTTGCTCTTCTCACTCTACTACTGTCGGTGTGTGGAGTGACACATAAATATTACTCCACTTAAAATGCACTGGTGACTCAGGTTCACTAGGCTCCTGCTCACTGCAGATTAGCCACCTTCTCTCTAATTGCAGTGGGACAGCAAAAGCCAGGGCAATGGCTTATTTTGGCGAAGGCCATGGGCCCATCCATCTGGACAACATAGAATGCAGTGGCATGGAGGACAGCCTGGGCCAATGTGCCACGCCTGACACCAGGATTCACAGCTGCTGGCACAGTGAGGATGCTGGGGTGATCTGTGACTATGTGGAAGAAAAGGTCCAAGATTTCAAGAGAACAGGTGACACTCCCATTTCTTCTGTGCAGGAATCTGGAGTTCTGGTTGTAGGATCTCTGCATGTTTTTGTGGTTTTTCCCTGTCATTCTTGTCTTTGGCTGAAACCTCACCTACAAAATAAGCATGTCCTGTCCTGCACCTCCTACGTTTTTTTTGTTTTCAGTGTATCTTCTTAGCAGCACAGAGTGTTCCAAATTAGACTGAGGAGCTCCACCCATGTCAGGCCTTTGAGCCTGCACAATTTCCCCACAGCCGAGTCACCATACTCTTCCTTAGAACAGCAATCATAAGCAATCTTTGGGATTTAGAATACTGAGGAGGTGTAAGTATAGGTCCCACTCTTGGCATGAGACTATAGAGACTTCAGGTAAGCACCTCTGGTGAAATTAAGGAAACCTATGGGATCAAATATTCTATGAATTCCATATGCACAACACAACACAGTCCACAGTCCATTAATCCACAACCTTGAGGATTAATGCCCTCATTAATCCATTAATAAATACCATTAATGCTGAATGGTATTTGGCTCTGTGACAGCAATGCTGATACTCTAAGGTGAAGGTCCCTATCCAACTGCTGAAACTTTGCCATGCAGGTCCAGAGTCTGAAGTGTGTGGGATGCGCCTGCTTCACCGTCGCAAGAAAAGGATCATAGGTGGAAACAAGTCTCTGAGGTACTACCCTGTAAATGCTGAGTCAGACTGGTTCCAGCTTTCCTTCAGGCTCTGGAAATAGCCTGGGAGATGCTTGACTACATTAATGCATTTTCACTGGTGATTTTTGAACTTGGTTTGAACCAGTATCTAGGAAAGAATGCAAGCCAGCTGAGGCCAGATGAGACAGAGTGGATGGGAAAAGAGGAAAATGGCTCCCATGTGTGTGAGACTGCTTATTCCTGTTTCTCCTTCAGAGGCAGTTGGCCATGGCAGGCCTCACTGCGGCTGAAGGGTTTTCGTCGAGATACTCGTCTGCTGTGTGGAGCAACGCTGATCAGCAGCTGCTGGGTGGTGACTGCAGCCCACTGCTTCAAAAGGTGTGTTTGGGAGTGGGGAGCCCCAAGGGATACTCAGTGATGGACAAGATAACCTCATACAAGTTTATCCTCCTAGCCCAGTGGAACTACATGAGCAAAGTTTCTAAAGTAAGACCTTCAAGTTATGATGTGTGTGATCTTGGAGTGCTTATGGGGATAACTCAATATAGACTTGCTTTTTCCTTCACTGCTTACAGCTGGCCTCTTAACTGTGAGACTTTACAGCATAAAGGGAACCAGCATTTTGACATTTAAAGTGCTTTAAGGAACTGTGAATAGGTCAGTTCGCAAGTCTGTTGCAACTATAATAATCATTTTTATAGAAGCAAAAGTCCTGTGCCTGGTAGATAGTGATTTGAGACACCAAATCTACAGCAGCTGGCATGATCATATCTGCTAAAGAGGTCCAACATTCCTGCAGCTGGAACTGTTTTACCACTGTGGTATGAGGAGGTGGTTCAGTCTCATAGCAACTGAGGCTTGTGTGAGTCTGCTTTCCTCTTAGCAGGACTATTGAGATCTTGAGTCTGAATTTCTCCAGGTTTGGTGTTGATGTGCGGCGCTACCTCCTGCGTGTGGGCGATTACCACACGGGTGTGAAGGATGAGTTTGAGAGGGAGCTGCCCGTGGAGCGGATCGTCCTGCACAGGAACTACTGGGCTGGCAGCAATGACAATGACATAGCCCTGGTCCGGATGCGGGGCAGAGAAGGGCACTGTCTCTCCTTCAATCACCACGTTCTGCCCGTCTGCCTGCCTGACAGGAGAGAGAGGTCTGACATCAACAGGCAAGCCTGCATCATCTCTGGCTGGGGAGACACAGGTGAGTGGTGGGGCTTTGAGAGGCAAGAGGGATGAGGAAGTCTGCCTTCAGAAGCCTACATGGGCCATTAATTTATGTCAATTCAAGGCTATGTTCTTGCTGCTCCCATTGTCTGTGCCAGTGCATGGTGCTAAGGAATAGGAAGATGAGTGAGGTTTTGTGCTATTGTGTTTTCATCTGATTTTGAGGCTTATTGAGTCTGCTCAATATTGGTGAAAGCTTTGGTTTCCACAGCATCCCTCTGAAGCTGTGGGAGAGACCAATGCTGCCATCTGGCCACAGTCCTCTCTTTCTTCCCATTTCTACACATGTATTTGCCCACAGTAGGCCCCTAAGGGAGCAGCCTGTGCAGAGCTGCTATACCAAGCCTGTGAGAGGCCCCCATGTTTCATTAACCTGCCTTCTTCATGGTACTGTCATAGTGAAGTGAGGGCTTAGAGGTAGAAGGAGCCCTCAGTGAGAAATCTTTCTTGGACTACCTTGCTTAATCTGCCTGTGTATTTCTGCAAGGACAGATGGACTCTGAGTCTGGTTTCTGCCCTGGGTTCAAGACAGTCTGGACCTGTCCTCTTTGAGCATATTACTGTGAAGCTTCATAGGTAAAAGGGAGCATAGAGGCCTTTCTGGGGCTGCTATGACTGGAGAAAAGCCATATGTTTAGAAAGATTTCCTGCCAAAAGCCCCAGGAGCTCATCTGTTGATTTTGGACTTGCCCGTCCTTCTCAGCTGTTTCCCTAGCTATTACCGCAGCTTTTTAACTGCAAGTACGTATTTGCCTTTAGAGTTCAGTTGTGCCAGTTGCACGTGTCACTTCAGGATATTTGGGGTGGATCAAGGAGCAACTTAGCCATGTAACTTACCTTAAGCTGTACTGGAGCTTAGTGGCTAGAATCCTTCCCACGCACCAAACCCAGCTTTCTCAATGGGGAGCAGTTACCTACTACCTTGTGAACTTACATAAACCTTGGGCACAGAAAGGTCATGCTCTAATATAGCACATTACCTTATGTTCTCAGCAACCCTGGGCTAATAAAGAGATGTGATCAAATAGACTCAAGTCTGGCCAAAGATGAAGGGAATTCCCTTTGAATAATATTTGAATACCTCTGAAACATCTTCTAAAACTTCTCTGAGGATTGAGCACTTAACAGCTACGACTGCATTTATTTTCTTGAGAAAACACTGTCCTTGCTTTACTGAAGAGGAAATTGAGGTTTGGAGAGGTGAGATAAATTGAACAAAGTTCAAGTTACTTGTTGACAGAATCAGGAGTAAGACTCATCCTTTGATCTAACCTTTTTCTACAATCCTCTTCCCCACATCTTTGATCTTACAGCTCTTTTTTTGTGGTCTGGCTTGGCATCACTGTTTTCAGAAGTTCTCGTGGTTTCAGAGATGCTGAACTCAGCCTATTTCTGTGCGGCAGACTTGACATGAAATGTAGAAGTGTCTGGTTTTGTAGGGAGCACTGTTGCACCAGGTCACTGCTGTTGCCTGTATGTGAATCAGTCTGGCTCGTCTGTTTTATTCCAGGGAAGTCCTATTCCAGAACCCTGCTGCAGGGGGTGGTGCCCCTTCTCCCACGGGAAGACTGTGAGGCCCGTTACGGGCGGAAGTTCACCAACCGCATGATTTGTGCTGGGAACCTCTCTGAAGACAAACGGGTGGACAGCTGTCAGGGTGACAGTGGAGGGCCACTCATGTGTCAGAGGTCAAATGGACGCTGGATCATCTTGGGCATCACTTCCTGGGGGTATGGCTGTGGTCGGAAGGATTCGCCCGGTGTGTACACAAAGGTCAGCAAATTCGTACCCTGGATCAAGAAAGTGACCAAGCTAAAATGAAAATGACTGAGCTCTTGGAATTTCAGCACATGGTCCTTTTGCTCTGCAGCAGCAGAAGGCTGTGGCTTCTGGTCTGTGACTGATGGAGATTTATTTTGACATTGGACACTGGCAAAAGATTTTAATGTAGAACTGGAAGGAAAACAGTTGTGACTGATTCTTTAAAGTCTTTGGTTTCACTTTTGTCTGTAATCTGTAAGCAGAGAAAGCAGGTGCACAGTGGTAACAATGATCAGTATACATTGCTCTAAATATCTGAATCCTTTAATGCAATCACACTTATTCCTTTGCCCTGGCACACAGAAATGGTAGAAGTAGAGAGATACCTATTGCTGCAAATCTATTCATGGTTGTATGTTTGGACAGTTGAAACATGCTGCAAGGAGAGGCGAGATGCTTGGAAGACAGCACCACATGTTGGCATAGTGGAAATCTTCAGATTTTTTTTCATAACAGCTCTCTTCAGTTCCAGGAATCAGAAGATTTGACCTGAGTTGAGGAACAGGGCAACAGCTGGGTTTTTTAGCTTCCCTGATATGTCTCTAGGGGGAACCTTTTCTCTTCTGAATAGTAGGTCTGCTCCCATAGGATCCCTTTCAAGTGTCTGCCTAGGCTAAGAGATGCTTGTCCCTCCTGCTGTAATCCTTTGTCACACATTTCCAGCTGCCAGATGCTGTGGTTTTATTGCTGCAGTTTTGCTATAGTAGTTTGTGTGTGTGGTTGGGCTTTTTTTTGTTTCCCCTAAGTAGCATCTTCTAGAATCAGTTGTCGGTGTGAGAGGCAGTAGCTTTCTTGCCTTCATGATTACTATGAAGAACTTAAGACTGACCTCAAGTGGCTGAATAGACATATAATTTTTCTTAAATCCAAATGTAATGTTAATCTCAAACATTCAGGCATTGAATCATGATTTAACAGCACTGTGGGGACTTCCTACATCGTCCCCTATTCATCATAGTTATTAGCTGCCCTTTGTTTGTGCTGCTAGTCTCTAGTATTTCTGTGTTCACTGTTTTCCATGAAACATGGAATTACTCCTGGGGTATAGATACACCTCAAGCAAATTACTCACTCCTTGTGAAAAACAGTAAGTGTGCTGCAAAGCAGCTTCCCACTTTGAAGTGTGTTCTATTCTTGAAACCTCTGGGTCATGCTTCCTTTTTTCTCTTCTCTGCACTCTGTCTTTTCATTCCTCTCAGTGGGAGTAAACTGGATTAACTTGAGGTTATGCAAGCACTATCATCAAGATGTAGTTCTCAGCCCGAACAGATACAATGCTGAGAGAAAGCAGAGGTTATTGAATATTACAATTTCTTCCTTCTGTCTCATCCAAACAAATGAACAGAGTTCCCTCTTATGCCTTAAGCACTTTTTAAAGTTAATATATTATTCTTGAGTAATAAAAAAATATAAGTAGACTAAAGGGCTAAGTGCCTTAATAGCTGTGCAGTGCAGCCTCTTCTCACTGTGTACAGATAAGGCAGAGAGGAGACAGGTCTGTACAGGAAGAGGAGCAAAAAGCTTTGATGTATAACCAAGGGCTCGAATGGAGGATTAATATAGGATGGGACACATGGAACTTGTGCCAGATGTGCATGTTTTGGGTAGGCAGTAACTGGGTCAAGCACTGACCTTCTGTCTGGAAGGTTTGCACTCAGGGCATTGAGGTGTTCAGTATCTGGGTATTACCAATACAAGAACAGAAGGCAGAGCACAGTCTGTGTATTAGCAATGTCATATTACAGGGCATGTAGTGACAGAATCCCAGAAATTGCCCTGGGTTCAAGAAGTACTTATTGCCTAAAGTTTTAATTTTTCTTCTACAAATTAGCTTAATGTAGAGGTGCTGACCTGACTAGGTGGCTGATTTTTGTGTGTGAAGGCTAAACTAAACTGTTTCATTTACTTTTTCCAGATAGGATAGTTGGACTACCAGTGTTGCAATGGGCTGTTCTAAAATCCTGCTTGCAAACTTTATTTTAATGAAGAATTGTCAGAATCTTTAAAACATGCAATGTCAGGACCCCTACGACCTGGCCTTTGAGACAAACCTGATCTGTTTGTGCCTCTTCTTGAGGTGCTGAATGTCTTCAGCACAGCTTTGTGCTGATAACCCTGTTTAAAATGCCAGACTTGGTTCCTTGGCAGCACTGTGCTTGGCTCCACGTGGGCTGTGTTGTCCTATGGCTCCTGGCAGAGTCTCTAAAATGCAAGCTGCACACTGCTCCTTATCTCCCAGGCATTAAAATGCCAAGAGGACCAAGGGCAATTATTCACAGACCTTTCATCTTGTGGGGGATTAAATGCCAAGTTCTATACTGGCAGGAGTAGTACCTGTCTGGGAAACATGGAGGGATTTGACTTTTACCTTCAGCTTCCCCTGAGCCAGCATGATACAGCAGCTTAAAGGGAGTTTCTGTGCCTTGGGTGCTGTCACATCTCTAGTTTAACCTGGTTTGATCTTTCAGTTTATACCCACAACCCGAACAGGCATAGAAACACCCAAAGGATGACACTGTGAGGTTATTTCCCTAAGCTTACTTAGCAAGTGGCCATTCAGGAGTTAGCATAAATTACCATGTAACACAAGTGAGATGTGGGCCTAGCATTGTCTTCTGCAATTCCCATGTTCTAGTTAAAAATATTTCTTTCTCCTAGATCTTGTCACTATGAAAGCTGTGAGAATCCTTGTAATTAACACCCTTTGAGTCCTGCATGAGCCAGGAGGAGGGAAGGAAGTATCCAATCTCCTTTGCCTGCTTTTATACCTTACTTGTGCTGTAGGCAAGCCTGTCAGTACTCTCCTACACTGACCTGGCCTCTTTCAGGATACAGCTGTTGCTCTTCACTCTTTAACCTGGGACTGTGGTCCAAACCAAATTCATGTGCTTTGCCACTGAGGCTTACTGGAACTGCCTGGTTGGATGAACAGCACTCAGTCACCCTAGGACTGTATTTTGTAATGTTGCATAGCAGCAGATGTTTCAAAGGATAGTATGTGTGAGTTGTGCTGAACAAGTTTTAACAGCCTTTCCTTCTGGGGAATTTTGTTCTTGACCCATTTAAATTAATTACTTGCATTACTATTATCATCATTAAAAATGGAAGTACAAATACTTGATCCTCTAGGTGCTGTACAAACACTGTGCACTATTCTTTTGTCATTCTTTTTTTTTTCCTAAAGTGTAAGAGTTTATATCTCTAACTTTTAAAAACTATTTAATGTAACCACCCTTCATCTTCCATATAAATGTTTAAATGTTTTGGTTTTAATCTAACTAAGCTCTCAATCCCAGTATTTTCTGGTAATGAAAACCATTATAATTTAATTCTCCATAGCACATAATTTCTTTTTATGGTTCCTGAATTAATTGCCTTTTGTTTTCATTAAGTACCATCTGTCCTTGTGTTCTCAGCCATGAGAGGAAATAAGGGGCCTGGCTTTATATTCTCTGTCATGCATTATTCTAGAGTTAGTTCCCTTTCTAAGACTGTGGCTTCTCTGTCTCTCTTCAATCCAAACTGTCTAGGTGTCTGATAACATGCTGACTGTCTCTGTGTGTCTTCTCTTTCTGATGGATCTTTAAACTTTGGTAAACAACTGAATGCAGTTTGCCAGGGGAGGCTGTATCCCCTGCTGATTATTTGAGTACAGTTTTCTCTAGCAGGCAATTCTGTAAGTGATTTCAGTGCTGTGTCTGTATACTGGAGCTAGTTTAAACTTGCTAGTGTGGTCTTGGTGGCAGCCTTGCTTCAAGGGGATGAAAACCCACTGAGGTTAGCTCCCCATGTGTCTCAGTAGGTGCAGCAGTCCCACCGAGCTCACAGAAATTGCTGTAGGTCTGTCTGGGGAGCTCTGGGCAGGGACACCAGGTCTGTGCATACCTTTTCCTGTGCTGACATAGATGGAGGGCTGAGACATTCCACCTTCATAGCATTAGTACTTTGGATAAGGCTCATGCATGTGCTGGTTCTAGGAGCTGAGAGCTCACTCAGTGTTGCTGGTGGCTGCACTGTGCCACATGGATGCTCTGAGAGAACTTTGCATGGCTGAGTGGCACATTGTGGTTGTGTGAGAAAGGGAACATCACTGTGGCTAGGAGCATTGGCAGGAGTAGAAACATGGCTATGGTAAGGATCTAAGGAGCAGCTCTTGGTGCTGCTCCTATGCTTCTTTGAGAGAATACTGCAATCCTCCAAAGGCTGCCCAAGTGCTCCAAAGGCTGTCCCAGTACTGGAGTCTTCCTGACCTGCAGTGCCTGCAGTGGTAATATCTCAAACCTGTTCACACTTTGGCTACCTGAAGCTGGATTAAAGATTTATCACTTTCTTGTGGCTGAACACTGTTGTGATGATTTCCATGAATTATGGTCTAAGCTATAATTAATCAGGCAGCTGTTTATTAACCTGGACTGGATGTCAATTATCCTTGTAATCTCTGTAAACCTGTAGCAGAAAATAACAGATCCATTTCTCTAAGGACTGGAGGCATTGGTGAGGAACAAGCCAAGTAGGCATTTGCTATCTCAAGGTAACAGAGGTAGATCTGCCTTTTGTCTGTCTTCCTTTCTTTCTGAAGCCTGTATCCGGAAGTCTTTTCACTCCAAAAAAGCTGCAGTGATTCACTGACCACCTGAAAAGAGGTTTTGATGTGTATATTCAGCAATCAGATGAAAACTTTGGAGAGATGAAACTACACTGTGGCATTTAACACTATCCTGATAGACTCATGGGGGGTTTCTTACAGCTAGAGAGAACAGAATCACCTCTGGTGGTAACCAAGTTGGGACTACTCCTTGTAGAACAAGGCACTGTGACCTGGACTAATGAACATGTCCTGGGCTGCGTTTTCCCTTGTTTGGGAAAATATTTAATTTTCCTCATCAGAAACTTGTTTGTGCAGTAGCCTGCTATTAAATCCTTTTCTACTAAGGGCTGAGTACCTCTGAAATCAGTCAAGTGCCAAAGCTGTTATGTCCCCTGGATCACCACCAATGGCTCACCAGGTATGCTAATAAATGGATTATACTGTGACTGTGTGGGGCTCTGTCTTATTTTTAATAAAGGAATCTGTTCCAAGGGCAGATTTTAGGGGTTTTTTCAACACTAAGTTAATTAAATTTTTTTATTAACATTATTTTTTACAAGTCTGCCAAACGTCATTTT